CAGGGGTATAGCGTGGGTTTAGCATGCACCAGGTCCTGGGTTCAATCCCCAGGACCTCCATATAAATAGGTAAATAAGTAAATGAAAACCTAATTACCTCCCACCCTCCAAAAAAATTAAAATGAGATTTGTTGAGTGGCCAACTGCTATGGGTTTAATTGTATCCCCCCCCCCAATTCACATGTGGAAGTTCTAACCCCCAGGATCTCAGAATGTGGTGATATTTGGAAGTGGGTTTGTTGCAGATGTAATTAGGTGAGATCATACAGGATGTAGGTGGATCCCTAATCTGATATGACTGTTTCCAGGAAAAAAAGGGGGGGAAATTTGCACGCAGACACAGACGAGAATGCTATGTGAAGACGAAAGCAGATATCAGGGTGGGGGTATTCTGCAAGCCAGGGACACTGAAAATTGCCAGCAAACCACCAGAAGCTGGGAGAGGAACACGGAACTGACTCTGTCTCACAGCCCTCAAGAGGTGCCAGCCTTACTGATACATTGATCTTGGACTTCCGGCCTTTAGGATTGGGAGACAATGAATTTCTGGTTTCTGAGTCACCCAGTTCGTTGTTCCTTCATTGCAGCAGCCCTAGCTAGCTGATACACCAGCACGCAGAAAGCTCTCTACACAGAGCAGCCATTGCTTCAGTTGTTAGCAGATGGCTCTGCTGAGATATCTTTAAAATTATAATAAAACCCACATAATACAAAATTGACTGTTTTAACCCATTTAGGCATGCAATTCAGTGGTGTTAAGTCCATTCATGCTGTTGTGCAAACATCACCACCGTCCATCTCCAGGCATTTTTAATCTTCCCAAACTGAAACTGTCTCCATTAAACACATACTCCTTTCCCAGCCCGTGGCACCTACCATCCTGCTTTCTGTCTCCGTGGATTTAACTCCTCCAGAGACTCTCATGAGTGGAATCATACAGTATCTATCCTTTTGTGACTGGCTTCTTGCACTTCAGCATCATGTCCTCAAAGTCCATCCATATTGCAGCATGTTGTCAGAATTCCTTCCCTTTTTAAGCTTGAATAATATTCCATTTTATATGTATGTCTGTACCCCATTTTGTTTACCTATTCACCAGTTAGTGGACGGTTGGGTTTCTTCCACCTCTTGGCTGTTGTGAGTAGTGCTGCCGTGAACGTGGTTGCACAAATCTCTCTCTGAGTTCCTGTTTTCAATACTTTTGAGTCTCTACCCAGAAGTGGATAGCTACGTCTTATAATAGTTCTGTCTTCAATTTTTTTGAGGGACCTCCATACTGTTTTCCACAGTGGCTGTACCAAATTATATTCCCACTAACAGTGCCCAGTGATTCCTTTTTCATCACGTCCTTGTCAATACTTGCTATCTCTTGTCCTTTTTTTTTTTAATTGAAGTACAGTCAGTTACAATGTGTCAATTTCTGGTGTGCAGCACAGAGTCCCAGTCATGCATATACATACATATATTCATGTTCATATTCTTTTTCATTAAAGGTTATCACAAGATACTTAACATAGTTCCCTGTGCTATACAGAAGAAACTTTTTTAAAAATCCATTTTTATATATAGTGGCCAACATTTGTAAATCTCGAACTCCCAAATTTATCCCTTCCCACTCCCTTTCCCCGGTAACAATAAGATTGTTTCCCACGTCTGCAAGTCTGTTTCTGTTTTGTTCTCTTGTCTTTTTGATGACAGCCATTCTAACAAGTGTGAGGGACTATTTCACTGTGTTTTTGTCCCTCCAGTTTTATTGAGATGTATTTGATATACAGCATGTTAGAAGCTTAAGATGTAAGTATAATAATTTGACTCACATCATGAAATGATGATCACAATAAATTTGTGAACATCCATCATCTTCTTATAGGAACAAAAATCGATTTCTCTTTCTGCTCACCTCTGCACTCCCAGGGGACTCCTTTCTCATTCTGGTTTTAACTTGAGTCATTGGTAACACTTCTCTTCCCCAGAGTCCTCCCCATGTCCCCACCAGAGGCCAGAGAAATGACAATTGTGGCGCTTGAGGAGTCTGCACATAGTCCCCAAACTGTGGTAGGGGCAGGAGCAGGGAGGGGGACTCAAAGAACTAAGGATAGAGTGAGGGGAAGGGGTGAAGAGAAGAAGAAAAAAGGAGGAAAGCGAAAGAAGTGAAAGAATGAATAAAGGAGGGGAAGAAGACCATACGTAAGAATGAGATCAGCCATCACCCAGAGGATGGAAATTAAAACAGACTATGAAGTCAATAAAACCAGAGAGAAAGAAAGAAATTTAGACTTTTCAGTGATGGGCCTGCCCCATCCTCACCTTAGGGATTTGATGTTGTTTTAAAGCATGTTATAAAGGACCAGATATAATTTCCCCTGTGTTTCTCCCCTTCCTGCCCCCTTCCCCCCACTTCCCTTCCCAATCATTCTTATTTTATGATCTTTACTGGTGATCCATTTCCATTGGGCAAATCGTCTTTAGGAAACTAGTTCCATCAAAACCCAAAGGAAAACCAAAGTGGCAGTTTTAATAATTCAAGAGGATTAAATCTTGACTCATCACAGTCAAGATAAGGTCTGAGGATCAGATGTCCCTTGGTTAGACGGTTTCCATGATGATGGGAGGAGAGCAGAGAACTGACTGATACCTTTTGCCTCCATTAAGTAACAAGATCTCTGTCCCTGCTGAGGAGGAGAAGTTCCTCTAATATCTTAGAGGACTTAGTGATCAGGAAAGTGGTGGGCATGATCTGGTGGCTTCTGGTTAGTTTCTGGTTAGTCCATAGCAGAGAAAATAAACAAGTGATTGTTTTGAAGGAGAGAGGAAGGAAGAAAACAAATATGTATATGGGAGGGAAGAGGTTTGGAGAAGCTTGGTAATATGTGAGAAGCCAGAGCTCTTAAGCTCAAGTCATTTTCACGTTACTTACTTAATTAATTAAAAATTTTTGCAGGGAGTTGGGGAGGGGGGGTGCCGTGACAGTGCCAGGATAGAGCTGAGGTCTCAGGGCGTGAGTTTCAAGCCAGGTTAAATTAAGAACGATTTTGAGCAGTGTGGGCTTTGAGACAGTGTTGGGTCAGGAAATCCATAAGCCATTAAAGAAGAAACAGGTACTTCCGAGGATGTACAAATAGAAAGAATGTCTGCCCAGCAAGAAAAAAAATCTTAGGCAATGTCAAAAAGTGAAAGATAACCTGAGAAGATACTTGCAACGCAAGTTATAGGTAAAAGACTAACATACAGAAGCATACAGGAATTTTCCTTAACATACGGAAACCTGCGACCTAACAGTAAACTAAAGCTTGCTGGCTCAAATTTGCAAAAACTGGGCAAACATGTGTGCACTGCAAAACTATTTGGTGGTTTCTCAAAAAGTTAAACAGGATTACCAAAGGACCTACAAATTCCATTCCTAGGTATATATTTTCATAGGAGTGGACAACAGGATTCAAATAGATACATGTACACTCATGTTCATAGTGCAATTCACAGCAGCCAAAAGGTAGAGACAAACCAAACATCTATCAACAGATGATGGATAAGCAAAATGAGGTCCATCCAGGCAATGGAATATTATTTGGCCAGAAAAAGTATGACAGTCCAATACACACTGCAGTGGGGATGACCCTTGGAAACATTTATGCTAAATAAAAGAAGCCAGACACAGAAGAATAAAATGGTATGATTCCATTCCCATAAATATAGAAAAGGTAAATCTGTAAAGATGGCATGCAGATCGGTGGTTGCCAGGGACTGGAGTGGTGGGGGAGGACAGAGAGTAACTGTTAGTAGGAATGAGGTTTCCTCTTGGGTGATGGAAATGTTCTGGAGCTAGATGAAAGTGGTGGTTGCACAGCAATGTGTTTTTTTTTTTTAATTTTTATTTTTGAATTTTAAAAATTGAAGTATAGTTGACTTACAATGTATTAGTTTCTGGGGTACAGTAAAGTAATTCAGCTATTTACATATGTATAGACATATTCTTTTTCATATTCTTTTCCATTATGGCTTATTACAAGATGCTGAGTATAGTTATGCGAATGTACTAATAAATGCCATTGAATCGTCCCCTTTAAAAGGGTTAATTGTATGTTATGTGAATTGCACCTGAATTAAAAATAGACACACATTATATAAAACAAATAAACAACAAGAACCTACTGTACAGCACAGGGAACTATATTCAATTTCTTGTAATAATATATAATGGAAATGAATCTGAAAAGAAAAAAAAGTGAATCTGAAAAGAAAAAAATATATATGTCCAACTGAACCTCTTTGCTGAAACTAACATTGTAAGTCAACTACACTTCAATGAAAAATTAAAAAAATAAAAATAAAAATTTAAGTAGAGTGTATACACACGATTTTACAGAAAATACAAATGATTCAAGTAACTCTGAAGCCCATGGGGAGAAAAACAGGTTCCTCTTTTACTAGAAATAAAACAAATGGAAGGCTTCGTTTTACATACCGTGAAGCAGCATGCTCACACACACCAGATTAAAAACCTAAATTAGTTCAACACCTGTGAAGGCCAATTTGTTAAACACATATCAAAATTAGAAACACACCCTTTGGACCCAGACATTTCACTTCTGGGAATTTATTCTACAGATAGAGGCGTGAAATGACCTATGTACATACAAGAATAAGAAATAAATGGTATCAGACTTGGGTAAGCTCACTAGTGGAGCGCCTGTTCAGCATGCGCTAAGTCCTGGGTTCAATCCCCAGTACTTCCACCAAGAAAGAAAAGAAAGAAAGAAAGAAAGAAAGAAAGAATGAAAGAAAGAAAGAAAGAAAGAAAGAAAGAAAGAAAGAAAGAAAGAAAGAAAGAAAGAAAGAAAGAAAACAAAAAAGGTCAATAGAAATTCTAAAAATGTCACTGCAACTAGTAAACAGATTCACTAAAATAAAAACAGATTCACTAAAGCAAAATCAATAAATTTTACTTTAAAAAAATCTCTTAACAGAGATTAAGAAAACAATCGCCTTTGCAATTGTATCAAAAAATACAATAAAATACAATAAAATACAATATAATAAAATAAAATACTATGGAAGAAAAGAAAAAAGACTAAAACCGCTCCCAGCAGAGCTGGGTCAGGAATGGTCAGGGGTGTACCCACTGGACCCCAAAGAAGGTCTCATCAGCGTTCCCGGAGGGCAGCAGGGGCAGAGTCAGGTTGGTGCAGAGGACGTCCCCGCGGGCCAAGGGCGTCAAGCGCTGGGACGCAACGGAGCAACTGCGGTCGAAGCGGAGACGCAGCAGGCTGATGCTGTGGGCGGCGGGGGAGCAGATGCCCACCGTCAGGGTGGCGCCGTGCGGCCCCGCCGTCGAGGAGCAGTTGGTCAGCGTCACCTGGATGTGCAGCCTGTAGATTCCGCTGCGCTGCACACGCAGCTGCCCGTTGTCCAGTTCCGGCCCGTGCACGAAGGAGCGACCCAGGGCTGGGCCCCCCTGCCAGCGCAGCCTCGGGTCCTGCCGGGATCCTGGAGGCGGGGTGGGGGTGGGGGTGGGGGGGAGTGGCGGGGAGGGGTGGAAGGATGGAGGTTTAGGGAAACTGAGTGCTGCGGGGGGAATGCCCCAAACCTCTATGTCGAAACCTAACCCCCTTGAATTATGAAGCAAAACTACCAAAATTATGAAGCCAAAGGGAAGACTGCGACCAAATGGCTGACATGTTCTTGAATATTCGGGCTGAATATTCTGGGAATGTGTCAGCTTAATAAATATTTAACTGAGATTTTCCCATCCCACCCCACTCCACCGCCAAAAAGTAAAGCATTTCAAGTGTTCCTGTATATAAAAAAGGAAACATATTTGGGAGTTTCAATTAGGATGATATTAGACATCACTTGGTGCAACCTATATTGCAATACTAAATACTTGCTTCTACTGAAGCAGTGGGTTCCTTCATTCAGGTATTCTGTTATTCCTTTTGGTACAATTTTAAAGTTTACTTCATTTGGTTTGCACATTCCTTAGATATTAATATATATTATTGATAAAATAATGTATATTATTGACAAAAATTTTTTTCTTATTATTGTTTTAAAAAAACTAAACTCTAAGGGGATGGTGTTGGAAGGTGGGGCTGTGGGAAGTGATTAGATCACAAAGGTGAAGTTCATATCCATTGATGGATATGAATGGATAAAGAAGATGTGGTATATATATACGTATATATAATATATATAATGTACACAAATAATACATTATATATTATTTTTTATGGCTGAAATATTATTCAGCCACAAAAAATTAAAGAGTGAACTTCTGCCATTTGCAAGAACACAGATGGACCTGGAGGGCATTATGCAACGTGAAATAAGTCAGACAAAGACAAATGCCGTACGACCTCACCCATAGGTGGAATCTAAAACAAAATAAAACAAAGCAAAACCCAAACTCACAGATACAGATAAGGAGGACAGTTCAGTTGCTGGAGGTGGGGGATGGAGGGTGGGGGAAGTGGGTGAAGATGGTCGAAAAAGGTACAAGCTTAATCAAAGAAGTTAGATGAAGCTGGGGATGTCTAACTGGAGTTCACGCTGCTGTGCTGTATATTTGAAGGTTGCTAAGAGAGATCTTGAGAATTCTCAGCAGCAGCAAAAACAAAACATCCTAACTGTACGGGGATGGATGTTAAGGAGACATGGTGGTGATAGGTTTATAATATATACAAATATCAAATCGCTATGTTGTACATCCACAACTAATACAGTGTTATATGTCAATTATATCTCAATAC